CACAGCCAGGCATTTAAGGAGACTGGAAGAATTTAGGGTCCAGCCCAGGTTACAGGTATAACAACACCTTAAAGACAGTAAACAGGGCTAGAATCTAATATCTACAAACGTGCAAGCATAATTTCTCTCTCCACAATTACCCCCATTTTTATAAAAGATAATTGTAGTAAAACTCATTTGTATTAAGCTTGGCCTGATTATTTATATAAGTGTAGCAAGCCTAGTGATCGACCGTGCAAGCTCTTTTTTAAGATTGCTTTGCTGGCTCTTGTAAGCAAGGTCCTAGGTCGATTATTCAAGCAGTTCCTTAAAGCTGTGAGCCATGTCTGAGTGTCTGTACATCTTTCCTGAATATGACATTCTAATCAAAGCCTTGGTAACGGAGCCAATAATTCCAACTGTGTCCTGTTTCCAAGGAGAACAACCTTCACTGAACCCGTGCAAATACGCATATTGTCACGAAAAGGATACTTACGAGTTTCCAAATTCTGGAGGGATTAGGTAGAGAGAAAAAAATAAATGCTTCAACCCTTGTTGCAAAGTACACTTTACCAAATTGCTGTAAGTTATGGAGAGCTTACAGGAGAGGAGAAAAAGGGGCCTTGACATCTGGGAACCAAACATCAGAGCAGTCAGCCCTCCCCAGAAATTCCCACCCAGCTCAGTGTTAGGATCTTAAAGTTACCAAAACCTGTGTTCCAGAGTACTTGTCAGTCTTTTCCATGAATCTCTTTGAAAATGAAACATTTTTATAAAAGCATCAGAGTAAAACAATAACTTTTGTAACTGACAAAAGACTTAAAAAAGGCAGTTGACAAGGAAATTTGGGTATTTTTATGACATACATTTTAGGTAGTAACTAAAATTACAGGTAATAACATTGTATTAGGACTTATCAGATTTTTAGGAATTTTATACAATTTCTAGAACATTTTTTAGTAACACTCACCCATACAATATAAGCTAAAAAGGTATGGTGCTCATGAAATTTGACATACCACTTAAACCTAATTAGTGTAATATTTCCCTTTTATAAGGTGAGGGAATAAACATTTTGAGATGTCTTAAGTGCCTCTGGAAAATCTCAAAGTTACATCCAGGTTGAAAAGATGTCATTTAGAATTTGAATATTTTGGGAAGCTTGCCAAAAATCTCAGAAAGTTTGAACACTAGACCAAATAGGATCACAGGTCATTATGAAATAATACTTAAGTATCTATTTGACCAAAGTTACAATAACAGGTTTCAAAGGTAACTATAAAAGGTCACATAGTGTGAACAAAACTTAACTTCTTCAAAATTAAGATGACTCAGTTTTCGTAAGGAAAGACTTGATTTAAAAACAAACAAACAAACCACACACACACAGGATATTTTGAGAAAACGTAAAATCTCTGTTTTCTAGGCATATTATGTAAGGTGAGGAAGCTTTCACAATCTGTTTCACCAGCAGCCCAATAGCCCAAGAAAACCTTGTCCTTTTAACAGAAAAGAAAGCCAAATTTTAAGGTTGCATCAGCTTATTTTGAGATTATAATTCATTCATTGCAATCTCAGCCCGCCCTGACTGCTCATAAAATTCTTTTCCCAAGATTTCTTTTCATAAATCTTCTACAACTTTCTTTGTATGCTCAGATTTTGTCTCATGTCTTTCTTTTTCCCATTCTGAGATAACCAGTCTCTCTTTAGGATGAAATAATTTTCCCTCAACAGAATCCATTTCCATTCCTCATTCCTTCTTTCACTGAAACACACATCCTGCTTTCCTTGCTTACAGAGGTGCTTCCCTTTTTGTTTCTAGCTGCTTTTGTTACATAGATTAGAATTCTTAACCCTTGGAATCCCCAATTCCTAGTGAAAACTAAGAAGTGAGCAATCGTGGACTGGCAGATTTATAAATGCATTTCATAATTTCTAGGAGTATCTCTCCTTTGGAACAGTGCAATCTTTGAGTGTGACACAAGACATGGTTACCAACAGACCCAAATTTATCTTTAGCTTCTTTGCACTAGGAAGTCAAAAGTAGATAAACTATGTTTAGTAATTAATGTCTTAATATTTTATCTTGTTTGGAAAATTATTTAGGTATTCAATGACTATCCATTATTTAGTTTAATTTAGTATAAACTCTGATCTTATTTACATTTCTTTTAATTACTTGCTTTTAACAATCATGCTTGGATTAGACATTAACAGCCAATAGCTATTAAGTTACTTTCCTGCTGACAAATTGTGAAACAGAGAGCACGAGCCTTCTTGACCGGTAAACCCAGCAGAGAAGAAGTTGCTTATTTGCATTTACACCCAATACTAATGACTCTGAAGACACGCCTGTTTTTTAATATACATCAATAATCTTAAACTGGCTTTCGTTTACTAAAGATTAATCCTGGATCACATAAACTCGAAAAGCATTTGAGTTAGTTTCTACCATATTTCTGAGCCTTAAAAATACTTAACTTAGGGGCTGGCCTGGTGGCACAGTGGTTAAGTTCACACACTCTGCTTTGGCGGCCTGGCCTTCGTGGGTTCGGATCCCGGGTGCGGACCTACACACTGCTCATCAGGCCATGCTGTGGCAGCACCCCACATACAAAGTAGACGAAGATTGGCACAGATGTTAGCACAGGGACAATCTTCCTCAAGCAGACTGGCAACACGTTTAGCTCAGGGCCAATCTCCCTCACTAGAAAAAGAAGAAAAAAACCCACTTAACTTATAAGTGCTTAATTTCAAGCCAATTAAAAAGAACTTTCCACAAATCAATTCTAGCATTACCAGCAAGAGGCAGAAAAATATCACATCTCTATAACACATATCCACACACAGACACATAGGCAGACATAAACACACATCTCATAGTTTATAGTTTAAAACTTTATGTCTCAAAGATTCAACATTTGAATCCTCAGAGTGTCTGATTTTAAAGGTGTAGGTTTTCCCAGAGGGGAAGAGAAGAAGATGGTATTGGGGTGGAGCCAGGCACAGGATGGCTGCTGGGGGTGGAGCCTGAGACAGAGGGGTTTCAGAAGACAACAGGGTGCCTGAGACAAAGAAGAAGGGGGAAGGGAACACGAGGCTTCAGAAGCCAGTTTATTCTCCCTGTTTTTTAGTTATTTTGGCTAATTTAGACAAGGTGTCCTGTAGCGAGGTGATTTAGAGCTCTGTGTGTGTCCAGAGGCCTCCAGGTACCAATGAAGATAGACACACCATTCATTTTGCTTAATTTTAGAGCCACGGTCTTCCAGTTTGGTTTAGGAAAAGTGAGTTGGGGAGATGGCAAGTTCCCCATAATGGCCGTTGTAATTCCAGACTACTCTCGGCCAGTTTGGCCCTCTTGGTTAAAAATGCCCATGTCGGGGGCCCACAGTTCTTAAACATAAACCCAGCCAGGGCCCCTGAAGGAGGGTTTCCCTCAGAACATTTAGATGGCTGGGATCCCATTCTGAAATTTCCTCTGAAAACCCAAGAAAGTTGCTAGGGTCCTACCCCTGACCCCAAAGGAATCTACAAACAAAAGAAAGTTGCCAGATTCCAGCCCTGATCCCAAAAGGAACCTGAAATCCAAAGAAAACTGGATTCTCAGCCTGAGCCCCAAAGGAACTGTGCCACCTTCAGAAAACAACTGAGTCCTCACCCAGGATGGAACCTTGAACCCAAGGACAGAGCCTTGAACCTGGAGAGACAAAGTCCCTCCCCCAAGAGGACAACGCCTCCTGATCCCAAATAAAGTCAGAGAGCTCAGGATGCAGAGGGAGCGGAGCTGGGAATCTGGGAAGAGACTCACCAGAGCGAAAGCTGCAGGCAGCTCACAGCAGCGATGAGCACAGGGACTCGGTGTGGGTACCTTGCTTAATTCTGGTGGTGCCTGTCTCTTGGGGGACACCTCCTTCAGATCCCACTTCTGACACCATATATGTTAAATTTTATTAGGGTTTGGCTTATTTGTTTTTGGTTTTGGTCTTTTTAAATAACAGTGGTATCTTCTGATTTCTATGATATGGTTAATTAAAGTTTACTACCTGGAAATTTAACCTTATAGCCACTGAGGAAGATAGAAAACAATAAACCTGCACTCCTGAGTTCTCCACAGTCCTCACCACTCCCTATTGCCTCCTCTCCCTTTACCATTATATATTCTGCTTGGCCCTGAAGTCACTTGAGTTTTTGGCCCCAGGCCCTGACCTTCCTGACAGGCCCCCAAGACTCCTTCTCTCTTCCTCACTCTTCCCACATCCCATCATTCATCTGCTCAGGGCTTGGCCCTTGGGATCATAGCCCCCACCTCCCAGGCCCTGACTTCGCCCTCACCATCCCAGGTCGCCCTCCCTCACATTGGTCCAAGAGAACAGGCTCCCTGAGCTGCCCCCAGAGCACACCTCCAGGCTCTCTGGCAGCCCCCACCCCTCTGCCCTCCTGGGCAGGCTGTCCTTCCTGGCTGGCACAGACTGGAATCTTCAAGCAACAAAGGGTTCCTGAGTTGGGGTGGGAGGGAGTATTTGGCCAAATGCCTCCTTCTTTGTGCGTATGGGTTAATGAGAGAGCAACTAGGAAATGGGGGTCTGCCTGGTCCATCCCAGCCCCAAGGGACACCGTGGGAGGCTCACAGCAGAAGCCCTGGCTGCCTGGCCAGGAGTCAGACACTTAGGGCCCTTGGGCCCTGAAAATGGTCCTGCACAACTCTTAAGTAACAAATTGAAGGATGTGACAGGGAAGGTACGAAACGCCTCTGTGTGCCAGGCATGTATGCTAGGGACTTTTGTGGCCATTTTCTTGCACAATTCTTACAATTTCCCAGCAAAGTCAGCATGATCATCTCAGGTATGGAAACTGAGGCTCAGAGAAGCCCAGTGACCTGCCAAGCCTGCTCAGCAGGCAGGTGAGGATGCTGGGACTGAAGCCCTGCTGTGTCTGGAGTCTCTCCCCAGCCTGACCCTGTGTGCATAGCTGTCATGAGCTGGCGAGTCACGTGCTGTGGCCTCACTTTTGTGTCTCCCCAGAGAACAGCCTGGAATCCGCAGACAACAGTTCCTCTTCAACCATTGAAGGAAAAAAGAGACATGTGAAAAAAGACAAAGGTAACCCTGGAGTTGGGAGCTGAAGTCCCAGTTGGCAGGAGGGAAACTCTCTCCCTCAGCCCGTCGATGCCTTTAGACCTAGTCTCCAGTGCAAAGGGTGGAGGAAGTGCTTCTGTTTCCATTAGGAACTGGGTTACTGAGACCTGAAATAACAGGAACATAAACAAAATAGGATTTCTTTTTCCTCCAGTAATGGGAAATGTAGGAGGCAGTCCAGGGCTCCATGAGGCTCCATCAACAGCAGCTCTACAAAATCATCCAGGGTCCCAAGTCTTTCTGCTCCAAGATCTTTATCATTAGGGCTTTCAGTCACAAGGTTGCCACATGGTCACAAAATGGCTGCTGCATTTCCAGCCATCGCATCTGATTCCAGACAGGGAGAAGGAGCAAAGGGAAAGGCAAAACTGCCCACCTGCCAACTCCACCATCTCTGGGAAAAGACCCTTCCCAGAAGCCCCACCCAACAATTTCTGCCTACATACCGTTTGTCATGAGGCCATCAATATCTGCAAGGGAGGCTGAGAAGTGTAGCTTTTCAACTAGGCACATGGCTGCCACCTGTTAGGAGAAAGGAGGGTAGGCAGCTAGCTGCATGCCTCTCTCCTCTGAGCCCCTCCTCTGTGCTCCACGCCTTAGCTTCCCTGACTCCCTCCTGGGTCCCGCCGTGCCCCCACCCTCCAGCCCTGTGCTTAGGGTCTGACCCTCCTGCAGAGGTGTGCAGATGTGCGCACGTTCCCTGAGCCTGTCTCTCACAGGCCCGGCTGGCAGCCCTCAGCCCGCCTCCACCCCCGATTCCTCTTTCTTTTGATTATGAAAACGCAAGCCTGCTGAAGTAGAGACTAAGTCCAGAGACTCCCGTGCCCGGCACCAGACTGCACAGCAGTCAAGATTTGGCCACCTTCGTCTCATCTAGCCTTGTTCTCTTTTTCTTTTTGGTCTTTGCCAGAGTATTTTAAAGTAAACTCCAGACGGCATTTCATCCCTATGCACCTCAGTGTGCATTTCTCACACAGAGGAATGTTCTCTCACGAGCCACAGTGAAGCTCGCCAGACTTCCCCAATCTTCTCAGAAATGTCTCCCTGCAGAAGCTTCATTCTAATCGGGATTCAGATGGGATGTGAACATCTCCAGTGTCTCTTCATTGAGCACAGCCCTCCCCATGTCCTTTCATTTCCTGTGCCTTGACTAGCTGAGGAATTGTGCCAGTGATGCTGTGGAAGGTCCCCGGGACGTCTGTGTCTGTCTGCGCCTGGCGCTGTCATGGAAACTGGGTCTCTGCTCCCCACATCTCCTTTCATTGGACCTTAACCCTCCGTGCTTGATCGGATCCACGTTCCACTCTGTCCAGAGTCCTTCCCAGGTGGGCCGTGTGCTGTCCACCACCTCTCTGAGGAAGCCGCCTCCGACGGTGCACTGACCATGGCCGTTACTTTCTCTATCTAGCTGCCTCCCTGTCGGCCATGCGGCCACCTGACCGTCGCAGGTTCCCATCGGCCACTCATCCCAGTCTCTTCTACACATGGATGCTTGTGCTGAAGCATGTCACCTCAAGGGGGAGGGGCTGGGTGTCGGCTGGGTTTGGTTTCTCCACGAGGTGTAACTCGTCTACAGTGAAATGCAGAGGTCTCCAGGGTACAGTCTGACAAGTTCTGACACGTGTATTCAACTTTGTAGCCTCCAGTCCATTCCCCACCTAAGACATTTTCATCTGCCCAGAAATTCCCTTTCCCACAAAGGAAGTCGATGTCCGGCTCTCCCACAGAGTCATCTTACCCGCTCTTGATCCTCGTACAAATGGAGTCATGCGCTGCACCCTGTCGGTCCTGGCTTCTTCACTCAGCGTCACACCCGTGGGACGCACGGAGCAGGAGGCCCTTCTTCGTTGTCGCTATGTGTCTTCCACTGTGTGCATACGCCAGCAATGCATTTATTCTCTCTAGAGTTGATGAACATTTGGTTTGCTTCCAGTTCTTAGCTATTAAAAATAATACTGCTGTGAATATTCTTGTACACGCCGTTGTGGGGCTGTCAGTGCCTGCCCCCCTGAGTGTGCGGGAAGGAGTGGGGCTGCTGGTCGTAGGTGCATCTTTAGGAGCCACAGCTGAGCAGTTTCCAGACCAATTGTACAGTTCACAGTCCCGCCAACAGGTGTGTGTCCTCTCCAACACTGGCACATTGTCGGTGCTTTTAATGTCACCTGGTCCTTTGGACGTGTCGTAGGCTCTCCCTTCCCCTGGTGTTTCTATGTTCATGGGCCACTGATGACTCTGTGTTGTGAAGTGCCTGATCCTGTCTCATGCCCACTTTTCTATTGGGTTGTCTGTCTCCTTATTTTACTGATTTCTAGGACCTCTTTACATATTCCAGATACAAGTCATTCACCAGTTCTAAGGATGGCAGATACCTTCCCCCATTCTGTGGATCACCTTTTCACTCTCTTAATGAACAAAAGTTCCTAATTTTAATGTAGTTCAATTTACTAATCATTTCCTTATGATTAGTCCTTTTTATTGCCTGTTTTAAAACCCTCTTCTGACCCCCAAGGTCATCAAGATATCCATTCATTGCATCTTCTATGAGTTTTATTTTCATTTCACAATAAGATCTATAAACCATCTCTGACCTGATTGTAACCATCTCTCTGTAGATTCTTTGGATTTTCCACTATACAATCATGTCATCTTGATATGACATTATTTTCCCCACCTTTCCAATCCTATACTTTTCTTTTTCCTGCCTTCCTGCAACACTGGCCAGAAGTGTTAAGATCGGCATCCAGGCCTTGTTCCTGGTCTCGGGGGGAATGTTCCAGATTTCGCCCAGAGGTTTCCAGTAAATGTCTGTCCTCGCTTTCTGTGGCTGCTGTAACAAATGGTGCACACGCAGGGGCCTCATGCCTGGTTGTGGGGTCAGAAGTGGGAGTGAGTCGCACAGGCACGAATCATGGTAGCCCTGGGCTGCATGTCTTCTGAAGGCTCTGGGGCCAATCTGTTTCCCCTCCTTTCCCTGTGTCCCTTGGCTGGTGGCCCTTCCTCCATCTCCAAAGCCAGTAGTGCAGCATCTTCTAGGCTCCGTCTCATCACCCCAACCCTGCTTCTGCCCCTGCTGTTCCCTCTTCTTAGGACTCTTGTGATGACATTGGCCCGTCTGGATAATGCAGGATCATCTCCCATCTCAAGGCCTTAACTTAATCACACCTGCAAAGTCCCCTTTACCATACAAAGGAGCACAGTCACGGGCGTGGGGGGTGGGCCTCAGTCATCCGTGGAGGCCATCACTCAGCTCACCACACCTCCCTTTGTCAGCCAGCGCTGGGAACCTCTCCCTTCCCCCTGGGGGTGGTGGGCAGCAGAACTGGAGTCCTTAGCAGGCTGCACCTCCCAAATTCCTGCCCTGCCTCCCCAGGCCTCAGGGACCTTGCCTGCCCTGCCCCCATGCCCAGCCCCCTGGGAGGCCCATGGAGACTCCTGCAAAACCTAGAGCGCCCACTGCTGCTGCCACTGTCGGCCGGCGCCTCGGCTCCAGAGTCAGCAGACCCCGCCAGCTGGCTCCGCCACTTCCCTCCTCCATGGAGTAGGGTCCTAAAACTAAATGAAAGAGAACCATGGGCCAAGACAGAGCAGATGTCTAGGACACAGGAGGGCTGTGTCCATGAGGCCTCTTTCAGATGCCAGGAACAGAAACTCAAGTCCAACGAGGTTAAACCAGGTGAGTTAATGGAGCTGGAAGGTCCAGGGGTGGACCTCAGGCACAGCTGGATCCAGGAGAACATTTGCCACTCGCTCATGCGTTCACGGAAACTCCGCACTGGCTGGGAGGGCACTGGGACCCCAGAGGCACAGACCACCACTTAGAAGAGCTGGCTGGTCTCTCCCTCCCTAGTGTCCAAGATTGCTCCTGACCGCTCAGCTAATCCTTTCCACATATCTGGGGACGTGGATTTCTTCTTGCTCAGAGATCAGGAACGGAATAAGTCTCGCGCAGTGAGTATTCAGGACCGAGGCCTTCCCCTAGCTCTTTCCTCCCTCACACAGGCAGCAGCCAGATTGCCCTTCTCAGAGGAGCACTTTCCTCAGCTCACTCTCTCACTCTAGAATAGTCAATGACTCACCATTTCCTGCAAAATCAACTCTAAACTCTGCCTGACACTCAGGACTCTGGCCCGTCCCACGGTCTTATCCAGTTTCATCAGCACTGGTCCTGGACCTTCGTCCTGGGGGCCTCCTCGGAGCTGCTGTGGCCACAGGCTCAGCTGCATGCCTCGCCTCTGCTGTCCCCACACAAGATGTCTTCCCTCCTGAGACCCCCGTCCTTCAAGGTCCCTCTCAGACCTCAGGGACAGTCTCACCTCCTCCAGGAAACCCCCTAGACTGCACCAGCCTTGCAGTGCCCTCTCATTGGCATTCTTGGAGGCTAGATAAGCGCACAGACATGTACGTGTGTGACGTGCACATGCGTGCCCCTCAGCAATGCCTGGGAGTGGCAAGGCTGCCCTGACCCCTGCCCTTGCCTGCCTGCCCCCAACACGGGCTCTCTGGCCTTCCCAACCCGAGAGTCTGTGCGCCCAGGGCGAGCGCCGCAGCACCCTGCTCAGGGAGGATCACCCGGCTCAGGGAGAATCGCCCAGTGGGCACCCTCCCTGGGAAGCTGCCAGCCCGGGCAGTGCTTCTGGGATACACTCCTGGCCTCTCCCTGAACCGACCCTGTCCACCTCAACCTGGGGCCCCGCGCACAGGACCCCCTGACGCGCGCTCGGCCTCCCTTCCCCGCAGGCGGCCTGGAGCCCGTCTCCCCGCCCGGCTCCGCTTGGCCGCCTCCTCCTCAGCCCCCCACCCTCACACTCCTCCCTCCCGCCCGCGCGAATCCGGGGCCTCGGGGAGCCCCGGAGCCTGGTCCCGGGTTGGGGGCGGGGCGGGGGGGAGGGGACGGCGAGGCTGGCGGGACCCCGCTGACCCGCCGACCCC